GCGTTATGGCCGGCAGCGTCGTGAGGCGGAAATCCGCCTGGAACGTTGAAGGCGTCTGATACGTCCGCGTGAGGACGGAAGGGTGCCTCAGTCTGCTCTGGTAGCGGCGCATTCGAGGGTTGGCTACCTCTCACTGCTTGTGCCGGGACTTCTCTCCTCGACCGCGGCGGTGGGAAATTTGCCGCCGACATATCGTCCGAGTGAGGTTGCCTGGGTGTGACAGGGCTGTTCGGCACAGCAGGCGCTGCCGCTGGAGCTGGCCAGAATGGGTTCGAGGGCACAGGTCGTCGGCTGCTAGGGTTTTGGCTTGATTCCACGTTGCTTCGAGCTGTTGGTCTCTCAGGCGTTGCTACCGTCGGCTCCGATGCTGGTGCTGGACGAGAACTGCGTTTCGGCCTTTCGGGGATAGCTGGAGCTGGGACCTGTTCCTCTCTGCCGGACGCTTGCCGTTGCTGAGGCTTGGTAGGTTGGATATCTTTGATCAGGTCACAGGATTGAAGGTGGGTTTTCAGCGCCGCAGCTGAGGTCTCGATGGATGTCTTCCCTCTCTCAAGGCAGGCATAACATGAGTATGCAGCACGCCTGTCGTGCAGTGAGGCACATGCCTGAACATGACAGCTCACAACAAGTGGCCAGTCCTTGTCGGTTGAGATGGACCCTAGGTTATCGGTGTCGGCGATGACGAGGTAACAATGTTTGCAGGTGAGGTTGCCATTGGGACGTTGAACCAGGATCGCCTCTAGGTCTGCTTGTGAATCTTGTAGAAGACGTGCCCCTTCGCAGTATGTGATGTCCACGGGGCTGGAAATGGAGACCATGGTGAGTCTGTTGGCGAGATTGTAGAAGAAGCGGCGTGATGGGCGGTAGTCCTTTCAATGAGGTCAAACCACGGTAGGTTACACTACTGAGCAACTGAGTGCAGCACCTGGATATTACAAGGGATTCGGTCAGTCAATCAGTCAGTTTCCCAATATTCTTGGCCAAGCAGACAATAGAGACTGGATGATGGGTGGCGATACATAACACAGGTGACTCAAGGGCTCTGTGATGGGGATTTCGATAACAGACAAGTACGTACCTATGCCTTGCTTCGCCTATTTTCTTCTGGAAACGAGTAGTTGGGGCGGATCGAGACTCGAGTGGATTTGGCGATCAGGCAGGGCGTTGTTGCTGCGCAGTTTGTACTATTGAAACTTTAGGTCGGGCTGTTTTGTTGTACCGAGTGTAAACAAGAGATGCGCCACGTTCAGCCTCCAGGACTCAGACGCTGATCAGATTGACGGATACAACACCGAGCCGGTCAATGATGAGATGGTTCTGTGTACTCGGTACCGAGTATGCAGATGGCCAAACGAGTCAAGGCAGACAGCATTCAACGAACCAGTCAACGCAAGGCCGGGGCGCATCCAACTCGACGAACTTTTCTTTCTCAGCATCACTTCAGCCTCAGCAGCCAGTGATTTTTGTCCCAAACAAGGCACCTATCGAAAAGGCCCAGATCATCGAGAAACGCATCGCCAGCCATCACCTCATCCTCTTCCTAGTCCTTCTGTCCTACCCCTCCTCCTGCGTCTGCCGTTGTTTTGTTAGGCTGCAGCATTTCGCTGTCGCCACCGGGCACCACATCCTCGTGTCCATCATCCACAAAGCGCCAATCACGCCGCAGATCATCTCCCTTCTCGCCCCAATTCCGCCTTTTCACTGTAGCCTGTTCGGGAGACGGCCAGGTCGCTCTGTTATCGATGCAACACACTAAGTGGCTTGCGTCTCTGCGTGTGTGAAAAGGTGGGATCGACATGGGGTTCGCCATGGGCCGCGCAAGATGGCGAATTCTGGTGGCCATCAGCCCGCTTGGCACATGCAAGATACCTGGAGCCGGTACGTGTGGCTTAGTCCCTTGGAAACGTGTGTTTATGTATGCACTGCATGTACCTCGTACTAGGCTGTCAGTGTGTAAACGGTTGTTCTCCCACGGCTGGTCCATTCAGGCTCATCCCCGTCACTTGAGCCCTGTCTTTCTCTCCCTACAACTAGAAATCTTCCATTTTCATCTCCTATCTGTTTCGAGATCTATCGTGCTTCTTTACCATTGTCTACTCTCTTGTGCACTCGAATGGCCTATCAGCAAGGCTTTGGTACGTCCGTGCCTGATCCAGTACAAACACCAACCGCGAATGGCTATGTCGACGTCTCGAATCCCTTCACCGATCGCGTGAAGAGTCTGCAGAGTCAGGAGGAGAGGCGGCTGTTTGACCTGGTCGACAAACTCAAGGACCTCGACGTAAACAGGGAACTCCAATTGCCCCAGCTTGTCGTCTGTGGGAGCCAGTCGTCGGGGAAGAGCTCCGTCCTCGAGGCTATCAGTGGTCTTTCGTTTCCGAGAGGAGAATTTACTTGTACCAAATTTGTCACTGAGTAGGTTTGTCTTCTGAAACCCCTGGTCCTCAAACGGTGTGGACGCAACCAACTTTTTAGCTAACTGTGGCATTTCTTTGCAGACTACGCTTTCGTCCAGGGAATGTCGAGTCCATCAATATTGAGATAGTCCCCGATACAGGACGGAATCCTGACGACCAGGCACGCCTCCAAAATGCCCGGTTCAAATCCAGGAGACTGGCCGAGTTGGGCCAAATCATCAAGGAAGCCGAGAAATGGTTGCTGGGCGGGCGTGGAGGATTTGCCCGTGACGTGCTCAAGGTCGAGGTCGTGAGGCCTCATCAGCAACCGCTGACTCTGATTGACACTCCGGGTCTGATAGCCTCGCACAACGAAGGCCGCGAGTATATCGACCTGGTACGCCGCATCGTCGATGACTGGATCAAGCAGCCACGGACCCTGATTCTGGCTGTGGTAGAGGCCAACCTCGACCCGCAGAAGCAGTCGGTGCTCACCATCGCCAAAGAGGTTGACCCCACTGGAGAGCGGACCTTTGGCATCATCACGAAGCCAGATCTCGTCGAGTCACCTTCAGGCTTGGAGGATTTCTGGGTCAAGAAAGCCCAGAACGGCGCAGAGAGCATGGCCGAGTTCAACTTTGCCAAAGGTTGGCATGTCCTCAGAAATCGTGGCGTCCGCGAAACTGGCAACGAGACCTCGACGGCAGAGAGGGACGAGGCTGAACGTATGTTCTTTATGTCTCCCGAACGCAGATGGAGCCAGGTCGACCCAGCATATTGGGGGATTGAGTCACTGCTAGGCCGTCTGAGGAGCATCTACTATGACCACACCCGCAGACAGCTCCCGATCATCCAGGACGACATCTTACACCGCCTCCAGAAAGCGATGAGAGAGGTGGACGGGATTAACGAGAAGCTGGCAGATGCCGACGAGATCTGGACGAGGTTCTGTGAAGAGCGGACTGGTCTGGCTGTTCAGGCAAAGGGCTGCGTGGACGGCACTTACCTGGACGGTGCGGCTGACTGGAATGAAGCACCGGATTACTATCTGCGATCTCGTATTGAAGAGGACCATGACGAATTTGCACGTGAAGTGGAACTGAATGGCCACGGTCTGCGTCAGTCCAAATCGGCGCGGAGCCTCACCGAGGACAGGGATGGCTTCCGCACTTATGTCCAGCAAATGCTCGAATCGACCCGGGGCCGCGAGCTGAAGGATAGTTATGATCCCAACCGCCTGAACCTGCTGTTCCGCAAGCACTCGGAACCCTGGTACGGCATTGCCAGAATGCATTTGGACCATGCCCACCGCCGATGCGTTGCGTTTGTGGAACACATTGTCGAGAATGTGCTGCGCAAGGAGCTTCCTGCACTGCCGACGCGTGTGTCGCAAGCCATGAAGGACCATCTTTACCAGGCACTCGAGAAGCAGAAAAAGAAGGCCGAAGACGAGCTCAGAGCAATCGAACAGGATCGGAAACAGCCGGCACAGACGCAGAGCAAGCGGTTCGAGAAGCTGGCGCGGCAATTGAAAATCAACAAGAATTTTGCTTTGGTCAACCGGGTGGCGGAGGAGGAGTATCCTTATATGGCAAACGCGGCGTCGCCAGCGAGAACGGAGAGCGTCAACGAGAGGGAGAATATGCCACCTCCACCGGCTACTCCTGGGAGCGCCACACGATTCACCCCGGCCCATGTAGATCGAGTTTTGGCCCAGGATAGCCGCGCCGAGTCAGCAGAGGAGATTGGGAAGAGGATGATCATTTACTACGAGGTGAGTAACCATCCTTTGGTGGCCACTAGTCGGACGGGGACAATACGGATAAAACTGACTCTTTCATGAACAGATCTCTCGCGAAGTCTTTGTTGACAACGTCGTTGTCCAGGTCGTCGAGCGGCATCTTCTAAGGCCCCTGCACACGCTGTTCCAGGGCGACTTTGGTGTCGACAAGGACGTCTTCACGCGCGCCGTAGACGCCGAGCGAGACCAGAATTTGACTGCCAGGAGGAACGCGCTTAATGAGAGGATCAAGCGGTTGAAGACGTTTGCTGACCAGCTACGCGTGATTTGATTGATCGATCCTCTGGTATGACGGTGTCAATCGTGCTAAAGTTGGACTGTATTTGATCTGGACATCTTCGGCCCTTGTTTATTTGGAAGACTTCTATCTGTTGTAGTAGCGGCATTATCAGGGCATTGAGACAATTATATACCTAGGTGAAGGAGAAAGAAAACATTTAAATATATTCATACTATAATTCGTACTTATATTCATGTGTCTTGCCTCGTATCATTGTGTCATTGTGGACGAGGCTCGGGCAGTTTATGGCCGAAGTTCGAGCCGAGGCTTGAATCCTCGCAAGTCAGAAAATCAAAACTTGCGTAGTTCGTAGCCGTCTTCCACAATCATGTTCCACCAACATCTGTTTTAGTTCCCAGCGTGTCATTGAGCGTAAACATTCTGCTTCTGGTCTTGTCATTATTACAAGGATGATATCGGCGTCGTCGGCTGAATCGAAACACCACAAGTAACGAGATATAACCCTCCATTCATCTCATACCACTACCACTTTAGTGGCCTCTGGCGAAACCCTCCGTCCGCCATGGAATACCTCTCGACGCTGCAGTCGCCCGTGGACGACCTGAAGCCGTCGCTGTTCGAACTGCTCTCGGAGCAACAGCTATCGGCGCTCCTCCCGCCCACGATCCGATACCTCCTCGCCCTCCTCACGCACCGATACCCGCGCTACCTGCTGCGCGTGCTGAACAACTACGACGAGGTGTATGCGCTGCTGTCACTCGCGGTCGAAAAGTACTACCTCGAGCAGTTTGGCGGCAGCTTCACCGAGAACTTTTACGGCCTCAAGCGCGAGAAGGTCCTCAGCCTGCGCGGCGGCGAGGTCAAGAGGACCCAGATCGCCGTCCCCGCCGAGGTCCGCGAGCGCCTAAAGCTCCAGGGCCGCGATGTCTGGAAGAACCTCGCCGTCTTGGTCGGCGTGCCTTATATCAAGCGCAAGTTGGACGAGAGCTATGATATCCACATCGCCCCGTCCGCGGGGTTGCTGATCAGTGGCGGAGGAGGAGGGCTGGGAGGAGTTGAAGGGAGGAGGTATCTGGACCGGGACGAACTACCGCCAAATCCTACGATAAAACAAAGGATCATGTGGTATTACAAGTGGTTTTTGCGGCATGTCTATCCGAGTCTGAATGCCGCCTACTATTTCAGCATCTTGGCCTTCAGCTTGGGGTACCTGTTTGATGGCACAAAATACTCCAGCCCATTCCTTTGGATGGTGGCCACACGGATGAGGAGGATGGGCGCGGCAGATCAGCAGGCTATTGATGCCGCCAGAGAGGCTGCTGACAAGGCCATTGCCGCGAGCGCGGCCGGGAGACCGGGACAAGGGCTGAGTGGCCTCTTGAGTCCGCGCACGCTGTATCCCCGGCTACTGTCAAGCTTGAGGATCCTCCTGCCGACGAGTATCTTCGCATTGAAATTCCTAGAATGGTGGCACGCCAGTGATTTCTCGCGGCAGTTGACCCGCAAAGCCGCCGAAGGGTTGGAATTGCCGCCTCCCGTTGTCTCCGGGATGGAACTCGCTCGGAAGACCGCGCCGGAGCCACAAGGTCCCCTGCGCAGATTGACAACGAAGAACACCCCAGCCAAACGGACCCCGCCGGTCTCGAGCATCACTTTCCTTCCAATTTTTACAGTCCCGCCCCCACCGTCCAGCGACCTGTGTCCTATCTGTCTACATCCGATTTCCACGGCGGCGGCATGCCAGACCGGCTACGTCTTCGACTACAAGTGCATATTCCAGTGGATCGAGGGGACGCATGAGCGACAGGAGGCATTTATGAAGGGCGAGAAAATGAGCGAGTGGGAAGACGACGATGACGAGGAGGAAGAGGGAGACGATGCAAACGGACGGCCAGGCGATGAGTCGAAAAAGGCGGAGCGCAAGAGCCGTGAGGGAAGCTGGGAGAGCGGCCAGGGAAGATGTGCCGTCACCGGCAGACGAGTCCTCGGCGGCACAAGCGGGTTGCGCAGAGTCATGGTTTGAATGGTCTCCAGCGTCCTGGCCTGGATTGTCAAGAACATGTGCAAAAGGAATCCTCAAGGGAACCTCCAATGGGGGATGTATCGTCTGGTCCACGCGAAGAGGCAATTTGCGTCAGTCTGATCGATGTTCCGTCGGAACATGGCATCAACTCCGAGCCTCTAAACACGAGACGGACCCAAGCGCCTCGCCATGAAGCGAACTCGATCGAAACAACCTCTACTTCGAACGACCTCTGTCTCAATCACGGCACCGCTGGCTTCGTAGGCACGACAACCTCTTCGGTAACACAATTGGACTTTTCCGAGGCGACAAAGACGTATAATGGGAAGATTCACTCGCGCCACGGCTTGTTCATGGAGAGGAAGATGGTCTTCAAGCAGCCCGCACTCAGTGCCTGTGTCTGTGTCGATCCTAGAGACTCAATCTCGCGGCTTGACTCGCACGCAGGCACTTGTCATGTCGATCCGGTCATACCTTATCTGCTCCACCGTTTTGGATGGCATGTTTGGCCAACGCCCAGGCTGGCGAGCTATACATGACATCTTTGTGCGAGTACGCTAGCCGGGAGGCTTCATGAACGCCGCAATCTGCAGCTCACAAATGGTCACTCCGACGTCTCTCGTCTTTCATGGAGGCTGACGCATGAGACCCTGGATGGAATAGGACGCATCCGATACGTGAAGGGCAGTGTAGTCGATGATAGGATAGTCGGGGGTTCTGTTCTGACAGCTATTGATGTTTATGCTGCCGAGACCGAACACCCTTCCGAGGAGACGGTGGTGGGGGCCTGTGGAGGAACATACGCCGCTGGCTGAGCGTTGGGACTATTCAAGGACTTGCTGAAGATGGCCCTAAAGAGATTCGAGGTATTAAGACTCAGTAAAAGAGCCACTTGGGGCTTCTAAATCACAGAATCGAGATGTCTCTTGTTCGACCTATCCCGACGGACAAGGGGCTGAGGGAGGCAGGAAAGGCCTCAAGAGACAAGTCGAACCGATATAACTCCCCTTTGTTGGACTGTCGCCCTTTCCATCTGTCGTGGATTCAAAGCTAGAGCCCACGAAGCAAAGAGCCACTGATTTAATGGCTATTCCAAATGAACCATCAGATGGTAATAACTTGCAATCGTGTCTGTTTTCCATTGCCCAACCCATCTCCGCAATACCTCTTTGGGCCGTCGTTTGTCGCCAACCACCACGAGCAAACGAGCAAAGCACAGCAATGCGGCAGCGAAGTGGCAACCCCGTCAATTTCCCTGCGTGTCTCTCTTCTTAAAACCAAGCTTTTCTGGTGGGCGCGGGCGGTGCCCAGTGCGACGAGGGGGTGCCTTGTTTGCGGAGCGAGCCGTCCGTGTGCTTCTTCCTGCGTTCTCGGCCACAAGGACTCGGTAATGATTCTTTTCTCAAACAGAGCTGTGGGTGGGCGTCCTAGTCGAGTTTATCCGGACTGCCCTTCGAGGCTGAGGAAATGACCGTCGTCGAGCCTTGCAAAAGCCGAGTGGGAGGAACGAGAGCCATGTTGACAGAGAGAGAATGGGTGACGGCCCTGCATAGTTCATGGTATCTTACTGGGACCTCTCACTCTTGACTGGCGTTGCTGTCCTTGTTCGGGCATAGCGTTATTATACCGAGTCCGTCGTATGTCTCAAAGGAATTTTACAAGGACACTATTGGATGAGGCTGAAATGGGCTGGTCAGTTGGGCTCAACGAGCAACGCGGGGCAGTGCTTTTCAGCCTCATCGCCGCATTGCTCTCTTCTCCCGCCTGTGCCTCTCCTCCATCTCTCCATCTTCGCTCTCTGTCATCTGTCATTCTCATTCAGTGTCGTTGTCTTTGTCAAGCGCAGCCTCAATGACAGACCCGTTGTCCGTTGCTACCGGAGTGGCGGGGCTGTTATCATTGGGGTTGCAAGTGACCGAATCTCTCTTCGAGTTCTACACTGCCTACAAAGGTCAAGATGCCGATGTGGCTCGCACTACCACAAAGGTCGAAGGTCTCCTGACGATATTCCGGAACCTCGAGGCAGCGCTGCGGGAGCGGACATTTCAGCCGAACGAGCAGGACATCGTCAAGAATATCGAGTCGTGTATTCAAACGTGTAAAGACGCCATTGGAGAACTACAAGACGAGTGCAAGAAACTAAGCCGAGGTTCTGCTGGTGATATCAAGGGGTCTCTCAAAGTCGCAGGGCGACGAGTGGCCTACCCATTCCGCAAAAGTACGCTACAGAAACTGGATGAAGACATTGGCGAGATACGTGATAACCTGTCACTGGCACTGGACGTGCTCCAGCTCAAGGATCAAAAGAAGGCCCAAGACGACATCGCCGACCTCAAACTGCTGCTCAGACATGTCAGTGCATCACAGCTCTCAACGTCAGTCCGCGAGTGGCTCAAAGCCCCGGATGCGAGTGTCAACCACAATGCTGCGTGCGCGAAGCGCCACCCAGGCACCGGCATGTGGTTCATCAATGGATCGTTCTTTACCACATGGCTGAGGCAGGATGGATCCTTCCTCTGGCTGAATGGCCCGGCGGGATGTGGTAAGTCGCTGTTATGCGCCTCTGCCATTCAACATACCTTTCGTCAGAAGCACTCGATGGTGAATGTGGGCATTGCTTTTTTCTACTTCACCTTTAGTGACGATTCTAAGCAAGACGAGTCTGCAATGCTACGGGCTCTCCTCTTACAGCTCTCCGGTCAGCTTTCCAACGGTCCAGCACTCCTCGACCGCATACGGACTTCGTCCACGGTTGCGACCCCTCCCACAGACTCTTTACTCGAGCACCTCCGAGATCTGATACGAAGGTTTCATCATGTTTATATCTTGCTGGACGCTCTGGACGAGTGTCCCCGATACTCTCAACGGGACCGGGTCTTGAATGCGTTGCAGGAGATGAGGAAGTGGTCACTGCCAGGATTGCACCTTCTAGTCACTAGCCGAGATGAACTAGACATTCGCGTTTCGCTGAACCCGGATCAAAACCAAATGCTGATCATGAAGAATGCCGGAATTGACCAAGATATCAGCGATTTTATCTCGAGCCAACTTGAGGTCGATCCCAAACTCCGAAGGTGGCAGCAGCATCATGGACGAATCAAAAGTGCGCTCACTGATCGAGCTCAGGGCGTGTAAGTGACTCGCTTACTGTGACAATATCAGCTTTCCAGTTAACACACTTGGTTAGATTCCGGTGGGTCGAATGCCAGTTTGAGTCTCTCAGGCGATGTCCTCGTAGCGAAAACCACCTCGATCGCTGCCTCCGCTCCTTACCACGAGGTTTGGATGAGACATACGAGCGCATGCTGTGTAACATCGATGAAGACTGCGTGGAGGACGCCCGGCGAATTCTAACCCTACTATGCTTCTCCACCCGGCCTCTAAAAATACCAGAGCTTATTGACGGAATTGCTGTCAACCTCAATGAGCCTGCAGGGCTGGATCGTCGACGTCGTCTACATGACGCAGACGACATTCGCACTATTTGCCCCGGCCTGATCGAGATAAGATTCGACGAGGTTCATCGGCCATGGGGCAACCGGGGATACGACAATGTCCGAGTGACACCAAATGTCCGCCTGGCTCACTTCTCTGTTCAGGAGTACCTTGAATCTGATCGGATTACGAAGCAAAAGGCAGCGTCTTTTGCATTGCAGAGTGGTCCTGCCAACGCAGAGATTGCACAGATATACCTGGTGTACCTCTTGGAGCCCGGGCTGTCGCTGAATTGGGCGAGTACTAAGAGGTTTCCCTTATCTCTTTTAGCTGCTCAGTGTTGGTGTGACCACTACAGAAACGCTGGAAATGCGATGTCCTCCTTGAACGGACTGATATTGCGCTTGTTTCGCCAACCAGACACTCTCCACACCTGGATGAGGTTGAATAACGCAGACAAAGCACGTTCCTTTCAGATCTGGCTTGAGCTTATGCATGAGCCATGGTCCCCAGCTCTACCAATTCTCTTTGCCACGTTTTTGGGGCTTGATGGAGTTCTACTAGAGCTACTGGCTCTTGAAGAGAAGACTAAAGACAGGCGAGATCTGATAAATAGCTTGATTGGACGCCGGCCGCTTTTTGCCTTGGGTGTGGCAGCAGAGAATGGTCATGAAAAGCTGGTGCGGTTGCTCCTCGATGCAGGCGCGGATGTAAGTGCTGGACGCCACAGGGCATTGAGGAGAGCATCAGAAAATAGCCACACGAGCGTGGTCAGAATGCTCCTTGATGCTGACCCGCATCGAGGAGGGCTAGATGAAGCACTCAAAGGAGCAATAACTCCATATAGAGTGCACAAAGACATTTCGAAGATGCTTCTAGAGGCTGGGGCAGATCCGAATGGCTGTGTGGAGGGGTATACGACTCTGCTAGCGTGGGCGTCATTACTAGGCGACAATGAGGCGGTTCAATTACTGCTCAACGCTGGGGCAGATGCCAGTGCCGTGGGACGCAGAGATGAGTCTGCGCTATTACTTGCGGTGCGAAACGGGAATGAGAATGTGGTCAAGTCACTCTTGAGTGCTGGCGCAGAAGTCAATGCTGTATCTTGTGACAGTACTGCATTACAAGAAGCAGTGGAGTATTTTTGTTCTACGAAAATGTTACAGGTACTGTTAAGCGCTGGAGCAGATGTCAATGCCGTGAGTTTCAGCCGTTGTACCCCTCTACAGGTGGCATCAAGACACGCTTGGCCGGAGGGGGTGAAAATCCTATTGAATGCTGGCGCAGATGTTAACCCCAAGAAAAGTTACAGAACTACTGCATTATACGAAGCAGTGATGAGCTGCTCTGTGGAAGTGGTGAAGATGTTGTTAGGCGCTGGAGCAGATATTGATCCTCTGGACTTCAGACGGAGTCTTCTACACAGGGCATCAAGAACCGGCCAAGGGGAGATGGTGGAGGTCCTGTTGGATGCTGGTGCAGACATCAACGCCACGGAGAGTTCCCGTACTGCATTACACGAAGCAGCAATGCGTGACTCTACGGAAGTGGTAGAGATACTGTTGAATGCTGGTGCAGACATCAATGCCGTGAGCGGCCTATTTGATACTCCTCTCGAGAGGGCATCGAGATTAGGCCAGTGGGAGGTGGTGGAGGTCCTGCTGAATGCTGGCGCCATCGATGAAGGGGGGAAAGCTCGACAAGCCCTCGAAACGAGAATCCCGCTCAAGGAAGAAAAGTGGGGCGAGGATTGGGAGGGAGACACATAAACGGTGGCGGCGTTACTAGCTTTTGTTCTTGATCATGCTGGGGTTCTCACTCGAGAGATCTCGAGAGGGGAAGAATGTGCACGGTGTATAATGGGAGTGGACTGCTCGCAGGTACTGGAGTGTGACTGTTTTGACGCGCTTTTTCCTTCTGAATCGACACTATCTTGTACAATCGAGACACCATTTCATCAGTTCACGAGTACAACAGGGACTCGAACAACAAAACTTGGTCTCCACAACTGTCCCCACTCCTGCCTGTTTTATGGCAAGTAGAGATCCGACAGCCGCCACGGGCAGTCGTGCAAGGCAAAGAGCTTTGGACGAAGCAGACGAACCCACGCAGGAGGGAGGCGATACCCGAGGACAGTGAGGACCGCATTGATCGCGAAGAGGGGGATCGAGAGGATGCGCTGGGCATAGTACGTCGGGATGGACCAGAGGACGAGCAGCACAAAGCCGGGAGTGATGGCGGTCGATTTCCACAGGTTCACGCGGGCCAGGACGCCGTCGAGCAACGCGGGATTGGCGCCAGGCCCGCGTCGGCGATACCACACGGCCCAGTGTGGGTAGAACCACCACTTGATCAGCAGGGCGTCGTGGAGCACGAAGAACCCGGCCGTCGACGCCGCCCAGATCATCGCCAGCAGCGGCAGCGGCAGCGGCAGCGGCAGCGGCAGCGATAGCAGCAGTGGTGGAGGCGAGGACGTCGGGCAGCATAGCTGGACAGCCATGAGCAGGACCGTCGCCATGTGTAGATTGACCAGCAGCACGCAGGCCGCTGGCAGTCTCGGCTCGCAGCCGATGCGCCGTGCCACGCTCTCCAGGAACGCGTTGTAGTCGACCAGCGTGTGCAGATTCGGGCTGAGGGAGTAGTACGTGCGCGAGGCGGCGGCGTCTCGCTGGGCCCGAGCAGCGTAGTCGGGCGGCAGGTCTCTCTCGCCCCGAAGCAGCTGTGCGATGTATCGGCTCAGCATCTCGGCCATGACGGGTACGCCGCCCTGGTGCGGTCGTGCATAGCCCACGAAGAAGAGACAGTGTCCCAAACCCTCGGGGAAGCAGTGCAGATACCACGAGCGAGGGTTGGGCGAGAGGCTCTGATTTCCTGGCAGACGGATCCAAGGGAACTCGACGCGGAAGCCGGTGCAGAGAACCACGGCGTCGAACTCGCGCTGCTGCGTCGTCGATGTGCCGTCGACAACAGCACAAGAGTGAAACTCACAGCTGCGACCGCGAGTTGACACGGTCGGCGCCACAAGCACCTCAATCTTGCCGCCTTGTAGCGCCTCACACATGCGCTGGTTCTTGGTGACATAGGTGGCTTGGTCGTTCCGTAGAAGGGCAGAGGCGGTGCTGGCCAGCGACATGTGTGAGAGGGTGCGGTTCAGCACGGGCGTGCACCAGAGAAGCCTGCGGAAGACGCCGTACGCAAACACGTTCTGTGCGGCGCTCATGCGGTTGGTCGTGGCGGCCTCGAGGAAGCCGTTGGCGGGGAAATCGACCGTCATGTTTGCGGCCACCTGTTCCATCTCGTCCTTCTTGTTGAGGTAGCGAGGGCCGACGCAGATGGGCCGTCGAAGCCACACCGTGACATGAGGCGACAGTTCTCCCAGCTCGGCGGACAGGTCGGCACCGCTTTCTCCGCCGCCCACCACCAGGACTTTCATCTTCTTCGCCGCCACCTCTTGCTTGAAGGCTTCGTCATACTGCGACGAATGGATCATGCGGCCTGTGAACCCCGACAGACATGCGGGTGGTGTATTGGGGAGTCCATTCGACCCGGTGGCGACGATCAGGGCGTCGGCCTGGACACACAGAGTGAAGTGCTCCGAGTCCGTCAAACTTTGAATCTGGACCTCCAACGACCACACCCCGTCCTCTCCCAAGGTGGCGCTGCGCACCTCCGCGTGGTATCTGATATGTCGGTCGAGGTCGAAGTGGCGGGCATATTGGTCGAGGTAGGACAGGTATTCTTGGGCCGTGGAATAATGCAGCCTCGTCGGGTCGGGGAAGTCGGAGAAGGCCATGGCCCAGTTGCTGATGGTGAGGTGCAGGTTCGGGTATGCCGTTGCACTGGCAAACACGCCGCCCAGTCGTCCCGACCGCTCAAACAGGACCGCCTCGTGTCCGCTCTCGACCATCTCTTTCAGGGCCACGAGGCCGCAGGGGCCCGCGCCTACAATCACCACACGTACCATTGCGCACGACAGGAGGTGAGAGGGTTTGAGAGGGTGGGAAAAAAATACAGAATAGAGAAAGGCCGTTTGAAGAAAGAAAGAAAGAGACGAGAAAGGGGGTGAGAAAGGGGCAAATGGTAGAACGAACCCGGAGGGATGATCCTGACCTCACATTTTTTTTTTCTTCGTCGGAGAGGCGATATCGAAACACTGGTTTCAGGTCCTACCCTACCCTACCTCGTTGACCGTGTGATGTGACACTCGACACTCGATCCCGTCGTTCACACAACTCCAAGACGCCCTCGAAGAAGGCGAGAAGCCAATGAGCTGCAAAAGGCAACTGAACACACACAACGGTGCTAGCGTCGGGATGGCCTTGAGAATCATGACATTGTCGGAGCGCCGTCATAGCCGACTACCCAAGCCACATGGGATTTCCTGGCCTGGTTCGACCGCAATCGGTCATTGTCTGTTACTTTTGGTTGTGACTCTCTGGGGCCTCGTCTCAGTTCAGAAGATTTCACCGCTCTTCCTGGAGCTGACGGCAAAGGCGATGTCGTTTCACAACCCGAACAGTCCATTTCCCCGACAATGCAGACAAATAGACGGTGGATCTTCTGCGAGTGCATATGTTGGATGATGTTGGATACGAGGCAAGGCGAAACTAGACGAGACGAGACGAGACGCACAGGTTTCATTGGATGCTGGGCCTGGTTCAAGAGCTTCGGGGACCCTCTTTTCTTTGGCTCTCGTGGAGACAAGCGATGTTTACTCTGAATGGATATTCGTGCGAGCCGATATTAGGTAGGCATTTTGACCGACATGGCTTTTTCGACTCGACCATGCTTCCATCAGCTCTACGGAGCCTTCGTAACTCTGGAGAGAAACCCACGTTTGACGTCAACCGCCCCTATCTCCACATATAGCCCCAGTAGCTAGCAGCCAGCAGCCAGCAGCACCAGTGGCCCGCCTTGATCGGCCTTACTCGTACGTATGTATGAGTTTTTGGGGGGGGGGGGGGTT